ACAAGCCCTGAAAACCATGTAAGTTTTGTCTATTTTTCCATAAGATTTTTCAGTCTCAAGTGGTTAAATAAAAAGAATGTAGGTATCCTCCAAAGAATAAAGGTACTATAGAAAAAAGTGAGTCTCTTTCTGTTTATGTGTGCGTGTGTGTCTGGCATATGAATTCGATGTCATATTCTCTGCATGAAAACCTTTATGTAAATTTTTGAGCATAACAGATTTGTTTAATTCCAACATAGTCATTCCTTGGTGTTCACACAGGATACCACAATTCTCAGGTATTCAAGACACATATATAAGACAACATAATATTTAAACCAAGGCATAGATATACACATCTTTCTTTAAATCACTTCTGGATCATTTTATATCCTTATAGAACTTTATTTCTTAAGAAATGGCATCAATAAAAAATGTTTACACAATGATAGGCAATGTTTTATTAGAACATTTTAGATCTCTGGCTGGTTGAATGCTCAGCTGTCAAGTCTGTGGGTGAGGAACCCAATAATTTTTTTATAATACAAAGTAACTATGATACTCCTTATTAGTTCTAATATTGAGCCTTATACAGTAGGCAGTTTATATGACACTTTAGTTAAACTGTGATGTTTAAATTTCTGCTCACCGCTGTAGTACAGTCTGGGTTCTAGGAAGGTGTGATTTCAGGTAAATAGTTTCTATTTCATCTATTTAATGTGATATGCAGTTAAAATGGCAAAATCGTGCCAAAATAAGATGAAATTGGAAAGTTGATAAGCATATGAATCTAAAAGTACAGGCAGAAAAGTTTGATTTTTCACAACTTCATGAAGCCTGTGGGAAATCTCCTTCATCTTAGCACAGAAGAGGGGAAGTGGTAAGCACCCTTGGCAGTGATGAAAGAGACTGGAATCTCACAGGAGAAAGGGAACTTTACACTGTCATCGCAACATGGCGTCGTCATCTACAAAGTTCATGCTCACAACTTCCGCAGTGGGGTTGAAAAGGAGGATGCTTTAAGAAGGCTCACAATTTTGTGTTGGATCACAGTCATAGCTACCTCAACCACATGCAGGGTGCATGACTTCCAGCTTGACACACCTGTGGCGGTCTGTTTACGCCCCCAAGAGGCAAAGAAAGGAAGACGTCTCTTTGTCACACGAAACAGCTCCAACTTGATTCCGTGGACAGTGAAGACTAAAATCAGATTCCAGAGCACACGTGCAAACTGATTACTGTTTTTGGGAGTCAAATCCTGAATTTGTTGTGAAAAGTCAAAGCACTAGCGGCCCAAGAAAGAGTGAGGAGAAAGACAACAGCCACAGCTGCTTATCAAGCAAATGTGGCCACGCCTGACCTGCAGTGGTCAAAGCTACGAAGAGGGGTCAGAGAGCCATTTCTGAACAGCAAAGCAAGACTTGCATCTATGAAAGTACCACCGGGCGCTGGCGCTCCAAGTGCAGCCTCTATCACGACGGTGTCAACCTCTTACAATGTGAGGACATTTCCACCAGCTTGAAAACAGTACCCAGAATTGCCATAAAAATATTGAATTTCAGAGAGAGCTTATAATCCTAGGAAGAATTACAGGGAAATGCCTCTGAGGAAGAAATGATTTTGAAAGGCCGCATCACACACAGTGCTAGGTCAGCTTCCATTCTCACATCCCAGGGTTTCTTCAGACACTGTTGACACCAAGATCGTCCCTGTTTGCTCTCCAGTGCTCCCCCTCTGTGCGCCTCAGTAGTCTAGAAAGTTCTTAAACACATGGTCAGATGGGTGAGGCTGATGCCAGTCAACAGCCTAAATGGCTGCTGTTACTTCCCTGGCTCAGAAGGAACTCCTATCTTGATTTTTGAAATCAATTTTGGCAAATCGGTCCTCAATGGTGATATTTTTTATTAGACCTAAGCTATACTGGGATTAAATCTATGGAGGTCTAAATGATCTGTCTCTACTGGGGGTGAAAGCTGAGCTCTCTCTGTGTTTAGAAAACAGTTGGCTTTCTAGATAGTCTCTCTCAATTTCCCTCTCTGTCTCTGTATCTCTCTCTCTCTCTCTCTCTCTCTCTCTCTCACACACACACACACACACACACACATACACACACAAACACACTCATAGTCTCTAGACTCAGAAGCCCACACTACACTTTTGTAACACTCCACCCCACTAAAAATGCCACTTCTCCTCCTGAGGGGAATTTATAGTTGGTCAGTATGCATTTCAGTGTATTATATTGGTTTTGTTATTGTCTCTTATATTACTTTTGTTTACTAGTTGGATTCTTTTCAGTTTTTTCCTTTCCTTAAGGATGTCATTTAGATTTATATTAAAACGTTAATAAATAGCAGGGTGGTGGTGGCCCTTGCCTTTAATCCCAGAACTCAGGAGGTAGAGGCAGGTGGATCTCTGAGTTCAAGGCCAGCCTGTTCTACAGAGAGAGTTCCAGGAGAACCAGAGCTACACAGAGAATCTCTGTCATGAAAAAAGGCTTTAATAAGTAAATTCCTTTAGGTTGAGACTTGATTGTCAATGTATCTTTATTTTGTTTTTATCCACTTAGTCTCAGTATCCATTCTAATCCCATTGGACAGAATCCACTATAATAATTTACTTGCCATAGAAGAAAAGAATTAACCTCTCTCATCTTATTTGGAAAAAAATACTCAGGACTCATCTAGAAAGCTAACAACCAATTAAAGATTGTTTTGTATAGTGGGAAGTGATTTTAAAACCAATTGGACTTAGACAAGAGTGGAAAATACCAAGATCAAAGGATAATAGAAATAGTGTAAACATTGGAATTGTAGAGAGAAACATAAAATCAATCCAAATGGCCTGAAATTCTTTTAAGAAGGAAGGAGGGGGTGGAGACATAAAACGAAAAGAAAAGTTGAGCTACAAAGTCAAAATCTAAACACTATCTTAAAAGTTTAGTGTAGGAATTTTGTCTGCTTTCTGGAGAATCCTTCTGAAACTAGCAAGAGACTAGAGACCAGCTAAACCTTGTTTCACTGTCTGCTTGGGTTGTTTTTATACAACTTCTTGTCTGTGTTTTTTTCTGCAGACATTTTTTTCTATTCAGTTTGCTCAGAATTGGAGAGACAACTCAGGCTAGGCATAACACGGCCAGTATGAAGATAGTGAGGAATTTTTACAGTTTTACAAAGCTCCTTTTTGTGTGTGTGTGTGTGCATTTCCTGCCACAACGTGTGGCTGGTTAGCCATGTGCTCAATTAGAAATAGATCAAAGTGTGTTCTTCAGACCAGCACTGCCTGATACCTTCATCTGCAATCCCACCACAAAATAAATTCCCCTCCCACAACCCCAGACTTACCAAATAAGTCAACACAGCAGGTCACAGCTACTTAAGAAACCACCCATCTTCTAGGGATGTGCACCAACATCTAAGACTCAGCCTCGGTGTTCCAGCCACTGTACCTTCATCTCAATGTCTGTGCTGCTGCAGCAAACTGAATCGTGACCTTCTAAATGTCACATACTGTAATTACTTTTGTCAGTGGGATCTAGAATAAATCCCATTCAAGTTTGACGGCTGCTACAGAGGCACAGAAACTCACAGAAGGATGGCCATATGAAGACAAAAGAGAAAGGCACGTCTACAAGACAAGGAGGCGTACCCTAACCCTACACTGATCCTTCTAGCTGCTACAAGTGTAAGAAAAAGTCCATCTAATATCACTGGCTCAATCTGTGGCAGTTTGCTACATTAGGTCCAGCAAGCTAAAATCTTCTTCTCTTGCCTCAGACCATGTGACATGAATAGCAACACATAATGGTGGATAATTCATGTTCAAGTCCTCTGAAGGGAGTCCAAGCATCAGACTGCTTATTCAACAGGAGCCACCGGCAAGGCACAAACCTTTGTGAGGATTATGGCGTTAGCATTTGAAGTTGTTTGACATGATGGACACCTGTAGACTACCTCACTGAATCTACCCGACAAGCTTAGAACCAATGAAATCTTCCTAGGGGAAGTGAGGCTCAGATAAAAAAATTAAAAAGAAACACACGCAACACAAATGGCACAGGAGAGTGGACAGGGAAAAAGTAATCAAAGCATGAAAAGCAAATTGAAGTACTTACTAACTAACAGCAGGTCTAAATGAAAATTCCCCTTCAAGAGGTCCACATTTCTAAGGCTTCCTAAAGCTAACTAACCTCTTGCAATAAATACTAGTCCAAGCTTATCATAAATCCATTTGAAGTTTCGAGCTAGCCAAACTTTTAATGTGCATGCTGTGCATATTAATTCAAGCAGTAGTATTTGCATATCATTATCATTTACCTTTTTACCACAAGTATGAGGAACACAAAATACATTCATTCACATAACAAGAGAATCACTCATCCTCTCCAGTTGAAATGTGTCAGTAATGAGTTGAAGTCCAACACTATTTACCAGGTGGTAAAATTCTACACAATCCCAGTTTTTATATTCTGATCCTAGAAAGCAGTTCCTTTGTAGTAAAGCAGGCAACCCACCTTTTGTATAAAATCTCATTCTATCTAGAGAGTACCCTTATTTAGATCCTAACCTCACATTAGGCACAAAAACAAGACATTATTGTCTTTTAAAGCTGAAAGTGAGAAAAGAAAACTATTTGTTATCTAACAGATATGCATTTATATGCAAGTTGGCATCTAGGAATTTTCTACTTCATACACATCTGTCTTTAGAATATTTCTATCCCCTCATTAAACCCACCAGCAAGTATCATGTTTTTTGGTTGGTACCCACAGTTAATTGCAATTCAGTATGCTATCTTAGAAATAGTGATATTTATTTTGTCCCATTTTCATTAAATACTTACAAAGTTCAACTATGTTTAGTGTTTGTTTTCCTATAAGAAAGTAATTCTCCAGAAACTCAGAGTTTGAATAGCACCTGAAGTTGTGTCTAATAATTGACCTTATGAAACAGACTATATATGTCAAAACAGAGCTTAAACACTCACATTTGTGAGCTTGTTGGAAATATTTCTAGTACTTATTATAGTGAATAAGAACACACTTTTATTCACATTGGTAACTCAGGAAGTTATCAGGGGATGTTCCCCTCCATTGCTCATTACACAATAAACTGCACTGCACGTAAACTCTATACAATAGTTACAGTAACACACAATTTCGGAGTCAGGTATAACATTAAAGTTTTTCTTTTTTCAATTTTTTATATTTACACTGTGGGTTCAGCCTTATCTTAAGATCAGTTAAACTGCCTGACGAGTCTGTTCAGATACTGTGGATAGATCTTCCAAAATATGCGCAGATTAACACCTTTTATCACTTCCCAGAGCCTAGCATCCACCACACGATGGTGCTACAAGATGATCTCATTGTAGACGCACATGGCCAAGGTGACATCATGGCAACAGAGGAATAATTCTGTCTGTAGTAGAGGCTCACCACCGAGAAGAGACCTGGGGTCTTAGATCAAGTTCCTTCTGCACACCTTGCCTCAGTTGAAACGCAGGGAAATATGAGTTGCAGGGTTTTATCAACTGTGATGCAGAAAGATAGAGATTTGCTTCTTCATGCCTCAGCTCAGACGATGTCGACTCCTAATCACTGCAGGAAATAAATATCGGCTCTGAAAATGAGTGGACCATCCAGAAGTTTTTCCAAACTTTAAGTGCTCTTGAAATTAAACATGATAACATTTATGTAAAGTAACAGCAATCACAAATTGTAATGTCGTTTTTACAATCACATGCATTATACATACACATGGGCAGACAATACATAGACATACAAAGTCGTATATACACACACACACACGCATGTACACACACACACATATATGCCTGTCTACTTATATACACCACAATAACCAATATGTAGTTGGAGTTGTCAGCTTAAATTTAAATAAGACACAACCTTTACAACTCCTGCCCAATTTACACCAGGATATTGCTGCCTATTATCTGTCATATTCTCTACATAAGAATAAATTGTGTGATTGGTCTCTTATTGTCTTTAAGATTATCACATAATAGTATGTATTCCTTTTTAATTCGCTACAAACGATTTCCTTTAAGCCTTCAACAAGGCTACTTGCTTAATTTCTTTTAATTTACTCATGAGAATTTACCAAAATCATTAATCACATCTAATGTAAACATCCAATCAAAAGCAGTTTATAAGTATACTAATTTAATTTTATTGCATTCTCAGGGTTCCTAGACTCTGAAATAATTTTTACAGATTAAAAAAAAACTTTTAGAGGCTGTAGGAACAGCTCAGCAGTTAAGAGCACTGACGTCTCTTCCAGAGGACCTGGGTTCAATTCCCAGCACCCACATGGTGCTCACAATCATCTGTAACTCCACTCCCACAGAATCTGATGTCATTTTCTGGTCTCGGTACGTGCCAGAAAGATACATGATGCACAGACATGCAGTCAAGCAAAACACCCACACACACTGCAAAGAGGGGGGAAGCAGTATTTGTTTAAATACAGCCAAACCTGATGAAAACAAGGACTTTTAAATACAGAAAATATTTCTTTATGAAACATAGCCATTAGTCCTAGTCACTGATAGACCCACAATGCTTAGAATGATTACTGAAATTGAAAACCTTTATGCTAAACTATAAAAACAAGCAAAGGAGAAGTGTGAAGTATGATTGGGAAACTTGGAGACAGAGTCTTGTCCCTTGGTCTCTGATTAACCATAACAATGGGTCACCAACTCCTGGCTAATTTCAGATCTTTCCCCTTTGACACTGATAACACAGGCTTTTGAAAATGTAGTCCAACAGATTTAGTGAAACTGCTGTCAGCAGAACTTCCTTATGCCTGTGTTTGTCAAGTAGAAACACACTAGCTACAGACAGACTGGATGTGTGATTGATTTTTTTATTATTATTATCCTTTGAAACATTAACGACAGCTCAGTAAAGCAATATTTGCCATGTTCTTGGCATGCATCACTGGTATTGCATGGTCCACGATAGGGCTTATTGGGAACGCTCTCAGGAGCTGGATCTGTGCTAAGACAAAGCCTGTGTTTCTCTGCAATTTCCAGAGGAAAGGGGAAATCATTTAAACACTGATAATCTATTACTTCACAGAAAAAAAAAATTTCAAACAATAGTTGACCTTCACACCAACAAATGCAAGCAAGTGCGTGCATCGGCTGTGACAAGAATGGCCCTGCTCATCAGCCTCACAAGGTCAGGCCGACCCAGTGTCCGCGGTGGTCAGCACAAGCTACTGTGAATCCCAGACGCCTTGGCTATGCAGATGCTGATTGAGGATATGTAGACCGGTAAACACACAAGAACCCCGCACACGGACAAGTGCAGAGTCCTGTGATGATTTGAGCCTTGTCTATACACCAATGAAAAGGCCATTTTATGGTGCAGGTAGCGTTAAGGTGCCTTGAACAAATAGGTCAAGTATTCATCAGCGTTGGGCCTCAGCAGACACATTTATTCCAAAAACACAAGTCACACAGCTGAATCCAAAAGTTGTGTTCTGCTCAACTCCACCATAGTGTATCAGTTTACCTCCTGTTGACAAAAAAAAAAACAAGTAAAAATGCACAACCAAGCAGCAACAGCCGGTATAACACAATTCAGAAGCTGTGTCAGTCCAGTGTACTCCCAAACTACACACTGAGGTCCAAATGTTCCAGTTAGGCTGTACATCCGATCAGCTGAGATGGTCCCAAAACTTTCCCCAACTTTCTTCTAGGCCTGCGTTGGCCTACAGTCCTACTTCAATGGGTGCCTGCTGGCTCTCCTTCTCCGTGGCTGGTGACTCAGAAATAGCGGCAACCTTTAAGGAGTTCTTGATGGAGCTGAGCTCCCAGACGTGCACGCTGATGATGTGCACTCCACAGCAGTGGCTGGCAAGCTTATACAAGTTCTTCAGGACAGCCTTCCGGAGCAGAATGTACACCCAGGGGTCCAGGATCTGATTCCACGTTGCCATTCGGAGAGCGAAGAGCGTCGTTTCACAGGTCACTGGGGAATTACTTCCGTTTATTGCGATGTTGGCCATCGTCACCTAGAAGACGAGCAAAATGGTGAAAGCTGTGGATCACAGGCATTCCTTCAGCGCCATAGTTTTCAAACGGACTTAAAACGCGACATGGCCTTTGAGCCACATCCCGGCAAAGCGCTGCTATTTTGCAAAACACTAGTGAAAGGTGGCATGCATTGCGGCCCCAAACCACAGAATCTTTTAATCCAAATTTAGTTGACATGATACAACAAAAACGATATTCCACTGTGTACAAGCAGACGTATGGGGAACCAAATATTGATATCAGCAACTAGCCTTATATATCCGGGAATAGGGATTTTAAAGAGAATATGCATTTGCTTATTCAATAGAAAATGAAAGTATATTTAAACAAATAAATTATGCATGAGCTTTTAAGTACTTTAAAACTATGAACTTTGCTGAGCACGGTAATGCTGGTATTGTAAAGATGGGAACAGAAGGATCGTGAGTTCACAGTCAGTCTGAGTTGTATAGAAAGACCCTGTCTCCAACAAGAAAAGAAAGAGAACTTTAGGACTTCCCATTAGCAATTACAACATTACCAACATGTCACTTGATGTCCACAGCTCTGCTTTCCTCATCCCCACCTTCGCCGAGCTAACGTTCCCAGGAATCTACACAGAACTTCCCAAGGGCTCTGCAGAGATGCGTCCCTACTTTCCCTGCAGCTCAGCTATACCGACGTCTACTGGGGTGACCTGTATCCACTTCGCGCATGAACTGCAAAGATCCTTTGTAGAACCGGTTCTACACGTGGCTATCACTGTATATTAAAATAAGGAAAGTCACCAAGCCTCACTCTGACCACCACACACAAAGTTGCATGTAAGAGAATATTGAAAACATCCTGTCTGTGAAAATGAGCAACAAATAAGTGAATATAAGACAATCCAGAAAAATTATAAAGATACTTGGACCATTGTGCCATCTGGGTTAAGAGATAATACAGCAAATCTGAAACTTCCAGACGGAAAGAAAATCACGACTGTTGTAGGAAAGAAAGGCCTTTATTCACAGTAATGCCGTCAATGACTGAAGAATGGAGCCCGTTAGCAAAGCCTTCATAATCCACACAGCTCACTCCACAGCGGCTGACGGATGATGCACCCAACGCTTGGCCCTGGCAACCTCCTATCACAGGCACAAAGCCTCTGCTCCCACTGCTTGGGAGGCATCGCTTGCCCCAGAGGTACGGCACCTTTTCTAGCACCAGCTTGAATTGCTTCTGTTCTAAAATCCTCTGCCTGTCTTTCTGTTCACTAATTCCTACTCATTCTCCAAACTGTACCTAAGAATGGTCTCACCTCCACCTCATCATCTCTAACTGGATGAATGTTCAGCTGTTCTCACCTCCAACTCATCATCTCCATCACAATGAATGTTCAGCTGTGGTGGTTCTGGTCCCTATCCATGCCTACTTATCCACTCCCAGCACACGACAATCCTGAATGGGTTTATGCACCTTTGAGTGTCTTTGTATTTCTATTACTGATGGGGGAAGTCCTGTGATTATGTCAATAAAGCACTGTTGGGCCAATAGGGAACCAAGATAGGTGGGACTAGGAGTCCAAGAGGACTCTGGGAAGGAGAAACACAGAGTCAAGATGTAACACCATGGGGTAGGAAGCCCGGAACTATTCTCCGGTAAGAGAAATACTTAGATTAACAATTATGGGGTAATTACTTAAGTCAGAGCTAGCCAGTAAGAAATAAGCAAGGCCAACAGCTTCATACTTAATACAGCATCTTGTATTATTTGGGGACTACAACAAGGCAGAGCCCAGGTGACTGGCGGGTGATAAACCAAAGCGGCTAGAAAGGAAAAGGCTTCCTTTTACATTTGGGACTGATGCGGCTCTAGAACCAGGCTGGCGGGAAGGCTTCTCTCAAGGAAAAGATTTCCCTTTACATATTACCAAGTACAAAGTCGGTGCTTAAATTCACTCATGTTTTTATTCCTCAAGACTGCACCTCATAGCACACTCATTATAGAGAAAACTCTACCCAGTCCTCACAAAGGTCCAATATTTTGAGCCATTAAAAAACACCAAGTGTTTCTGTAGTGCCATAAGCTAATGGGGATTCCAGGGTGATTGGCTATCACTCAAAAGAAAAAGGATCTTCAGTCCAAGCAGATCCTGTGGGAGACAGCTTCTTTCCCAGGAAAATAAGGTATCCCTGCAGACCTAAATGCGCTACAACCAATGAAATGAAAAATGTGTCTTGACAGAACTCCTGGATCAGATACAGGCACAGGTGTTATTGCTTCCCCTAATTATGCAATACGACTGAAGAAACATTCCTACATGGGCCTCACTCCTCACACAAGTGGGGCCAAGACTTGCTTGGCAACTGAAATGAGTTATTTTCGCTTTGATTTTTGTTTCCACTCCTCAAATATCCGTTTACCTCCTTTGGGCCAGGCAATGGGCTAGGCATTGAAGACACCGGGTGAATAAAGCCGACACTGTGAAATCTGTCATCTGCCCGTGAGAATTTTATCACGTCAGTTTTGGTTCAAGGATGAGTGAGTCAATATTTATCTTGCCTTACAAATGTAAAAAGCATGTGCTCTCTGTTAGTGAATAAAATGTGCTTTTGGTATCTCAAAGCTCAACCAGGCACGGCCCTGTAAATCCGGGAACAAACGTTCTCCATGCGATTGTATCAAAGAGCCTTCCTTGACACATTTAAAGTGCCGGTTACATGGCAGCACCCTCTGATTCTCCTCGCTCCTGGGAAGAGTAGTTTGATCACCAGGTGGCTGTAAAGAGACACGCAGCCATCTGCTGAAAGAATCCATGTCCTAGCTTCTCTCTAGAGCACACAGCCAGTGGCCAGCCGTTCATAACTCTCCCCCCAGTAGCTTCAGCCCAAAGAGCAGTTACTCCAGGGCCTAGATCATTAACTAGGTAGCCATCAAGAAAAATAGATAAAAGAAAATACCAGTTAGGATGCTATTGATAAGAGTACATTATTGCTAAGCAATCATGGTGTCCAACAAGGGATAAATTGTGGTCATTTCACATAATGGAACTAATATATGGAGACTGGTGTTGGGATTCAGTGTTACCTTAAAGAAAGCAAGTCATCAACTGATTTTATACGATCTCAGTTCTAAAAGAATGTTATTTTGTGCATACATTAACACTATAGAGGCATTTGTCAATGTTTCATTGCTTAACTCTGGATAATAGGATTAATTTTCCTTTGGTTTTTTGTTTGTTTGTGTGTGTGTGTGTAATTTACTTATTGTTTTTACTGGTGTCACACATTGTTTTATTAAGCCGTACTTCTCCCAGCTCCAGTAGTTTGTGGAAATATCTGTTTTACTAAAGATTAAGAACATGTGGGGTGTTTTTGTACATCTGCGTATAAGTAAAACAGTATTGAAGGTGCATGGAATTGCCTGGAAAGCAGAGCTCTGATTTAGCAGGCAGGATGTTGGGGACTGAGTGACTGCAGGCTAGGCAGATGGGATCAGTCTGTAGTCACGTGTTATGGCCTCTGATGACAAGCGTGTCACAAACCTGGTCAGCATGCTCTGACTGGCCACCCAAATTTACAGGGTTTCACAGCTACACAGCTGTGGGAGGGTACAGTGTGTGTGTGTGTGTGTGTGTGTGTGTGTGTGCCTGTGTCTATGTGTGTGTGTGTGTGTGTCTGTGTCTGTGTCTATGTGTGTGCGTGTGTATGTGTGTGTGTCTGTGTCTATGTGTGTGTGTGTGTGTGTCTGTGTCTGTGTCTATGTGTGTGCGTGTGTATGTGTGTGTGTGATTGTGTGTGCCTATGTCTATGTGTGTGTGTATGTGTGTGTGTGAGTGTGAGTGTTTGTCTCTGACTGTGTGTGTCTGTATCTGTGTGTGTGTCTGTGTCTGTGTGTGTGTCTCTGTCTTTGTGTGTGTGATTGTGTGTGCCTGTGTCTATGTGTGTATGTGTGTGTGAGTGTGAGTGTTTGTTTCTGACTGTGTGTGTGTGTCTGTGTCTATGTGTGTGTGAATGTGTGTGTGTGAGTGTGAGTGTTTGTCTCTGACTGTGTGTGTCTGTATCTGTGTGTGTCTGTGTCTGTGTGTGTGTCTCTGTCTGTGTGTGTGTGTGTGTCTGATTGTGTGTATTAGGGCAGACATATGTCGTCAAGGGGTGACATTGGGTGCCTTCTCAAACTGTTCTTCATTGACATACATCTAGTACACTGAAATCATGAAGTTAACTTGTCAAGCTAGCCAAATGGCTCCAGGGATGCCATGACTTTGTCTCCCAGGTGCTTGAGTAACAGGTGGGCCACCATGTCACCTGACATTTAGCTAGTTTGTAGGGTCCTAAACTTCATTCCCCACATTTGTGCATCAAGAGCTGTGCCCATTAAGCCATCACCCCCTTTTCAGTGGTTGGAAGAAGTGGACATATGAAGTGTTTGGACTTTATATGAAAACAGTCTATTATTTACACTAATAATTTCTCAGATGCTCACAGAAAGAAATGTATGAGGAGAGTTTGTGTGGATTTCCTGGATTCAATGAGCAAAATAAATGGCATAATGACTTTTGTTCCATTCAGGCTATAAAATAAAATTATGTCAACCACTTAAGGTTATAATAGTAGTGAATCTGTGACTTTAGTGACCAACAACAGAGTCCGTATTAGCAAAGTTTTACTATGGAGACTATTAAAGCTACATATACTCTGTGTCTGCATGTGTCTTGACCTGAGTCAGGACTCCAATGAGCATTTACAAGTAAAAGCAGTGGTAAATCAGACATGATGACACATAATCCCAGCACTTGAAAGGCTGGAGTGAGACAATCTCAAGTTTGAAAGCAGCATGGGCCACATGGTAAGTTTAAGCAAGCTGAGCTACGTGCTAAAACCCTGTATCAAAAACAGAAGAGCGAAATCAGAAAGGAATGGCGAATTCAAGAAGTGTGTCTGTGTTTCTGTCTCTTTGAGCTTCCAAGAAACACACTAATCTAGCAATGAGTGGATTTCTCTGTCCACTGTCC